CACTGTCTTTTCATGGGCTGATTCTGTGAGAACAGCACCATCTACAGGCCTGGCATATGTACTACAGCGTCTCCAGCGCTTTGGAACGGCAATGTCCGTGGCTGTCTCCTCCTGATTGGTGGAGTTGGCCCAATAGCCGTAGCGCCACTTCTGTGACGTCATAGAAGTGTTCAAATCTGGATCAGTCTGTATCAGATCCGTTGCAGCCCCTTTTTAAGAGATTTGGGTATGGAGGAAAATAGAGAGGGTTGTGTTTTCTGACACTTGGTGAGTTCCCTGGAACACCGGGGACACATGTTCATGTATACAAGACGTACAAAAGTGCATTTTTGCATGATAGGTCACCTTTAAACTGGAAATCCCCACATTCCTCCCACTGGTGTGTCACTTCCTTATTTCAGAATCAGTTCTGCATTAATCTTACATGTTACATTAGTATTTGATTCACATAGTTGGTAGAATAAAAACCTGAAATCTATTTAATAAATACAGATTGGTGTAACTCTAATTGACCTACCAATGCTTTCTTGCTGGCGATGAGTAGAGCTGTAGCGTTGAGGCTCTGAGCAACCCGAGCTTTCTGGCTGAAGTCACAGTCCCCCCTCATGACCACCACCGCTTTGCCATTTACCAAATCTGGATTGACCCCAGAGGTGTTACACAGCACGGTGGAGGTCAAATTCACCAGTGGATACTGCAACTGGAAAAGTGAAGATACAAAGTGAAATTGTGAAGTCCCATTTTAACTTTAGAAAGACAACTATCGTATGTATGTTACTGTAAAGACAACACAGGTATTTCATTTGAGGTTAAAATGAAAAACTATTTTTGAAAACTTACGGCAGCATCAAGGGTTTCTGACAGGGGTGTCCAGGAATGATTGTGGACGATGCAGTAATCCTTCTCTGTATTTCCATTTGAGATGTGCAAGATGGCCTCTTGGCAGTTTATCTGTTGGGAAAGAAATTTCTTATTGTTATTTAGGATTGAATTTGGAATCAGGACTTGTTTTGAATTGGATGGTGATCAATCAAAATGATTAAAATCAAATCACAAGATAACATAAGATAAGATAATAGTTACTTCCGTAAACTCAGTGACCTATCTTTAAAACAGTTTCACTGTAGCCATATCGATTGAGTTCTCCTGTATGGGGCCCTCTGTTTTGTGTTGTTTTTCCATATGGCTTTGTTCATCAATAAGAGTACACCAGAAGATCATTCATTTAACCACAAGCTCATTGGTATTCTTACCCCAAACCTAACCGATTGTGTTACATCAACCCTAATCCATAAAGCATTTACAATCACACATGACCCGGATCATCCAATCTTGCAGCACTTTACGACCTTCCTTCTGGTGACAGGTACAGAAATTCATTATGCGGAAAGACAAGTTTCAGCAGGAGCTTTACCGTCCTTAATGCATTGAAGCGTTGAATAAATAACCTCTTAAATTACATGGCATAAAGTATATAGTGAATGAAGTGTTAACACCACCTCCCAGGATACATTTTACCTTTATCTAAAAGCTACTGTGTTAATGTGTTTTTGTCCCTTTAATCTATTCGTAAATTAAAGAATATTCAAATATATTCTGTATATGTTATAGTGTATATTATCCTCTTCTGAAGATATGTCTTTTATACTGTAAACATGTATATATTTGCTTTTATTCTTTATTTTTTGGGGATTTTTAAGAAATGTTGTAATTCTTCTTCTTACACCATGACAACTTCCCAACTTGGGATAAGTACATATCTATCATTTCTGAAATAAATGGCCATGTTGGTGATCTGACAGTGGACGTCGTGTAAAGACCTTTTGTCAAGCCTAAAGTTAAACGTCAGTGTTAATTATATAAATAATATTTTAACACTCAACATGTCACATGAGTGAAACTCAAAAACTGTAGGTTTCTGGCTTGGACTGGTCTAGTTGAGGCTAACTGAGCTAACGCTAGCTCGTCGGAAGCAGTCAGTTTTCCCTTTTGTTTCCCCGGCCCGGACATCACGGTAACATAGTAATACAAATGTATTGACTACATATTAACAATATAATGTAACATTATAGAGTCAAAAGAGTCACTCTTTTGGTGTTTTTCGACGTTAAGTCCTGCTTCAAGGCCTGTTAGTTAGTTAGCTTAAGCGCTGTTTCTGTTATTAAAATCCATTCACTTTACCTGCGATGCCAAAAAAATGACCGAGAAAAGGACGATTTTGACAGCTCTGTCCATGTTGGTAACATTCGTTTAGTTACGGAGTCCGGCAACATCCAAATTAATTGTCTTCTATACCGCACCGACACTGTTTTTTGTCCGCTAAGTTACTAGTATCTTCATTGCATTTTGTTTAGCTGTGACTGCTGGGCACTTCCTGAATTGTCTTGTGACACATGGGCACAGTGACCCACTGGTTTCTGTTTCACCTCACAGCGTCGCAGTAAATTACTTAAAATAATAAATAAGTAAAAGAAGCAAATATAACATAATGCTGGAAAACTGTAAAATATAGCATTTTAAATAAAAGACCTGCATTCATAGTAAAACGTGTCAAGTATTATCAAGAATATCTAGGCTACTTTAAATGAGAAACATAATACTGATTGAGCAGTAAACTGTTTTTCTTACACACTCTGTGTAAAGTAACAAAGTAGCTACATTTACTCCAGTAGCCTACTGTACTTTACTTTTGTGAGGGACTTGTACTTTACTTGAGTATTTCAACATGTTGCTACTTTACATCTACTCCACTACAATTAATAGGTAAGTAGTGTACTTTTACTCCACTACATTTATTTAATACCTTTAGTTATTTCGTAGATTTAGAGTAATATAATCAACACTTAAATAAGACTGTAGTTATACCTGGAGTAAAATTCACAAGCTACCCTGCAGTACAGCATCTGCCAACCAGGGTTCGAGTTATAAACTGAGCTCTATGGGGGTCTTTAAAACTAATGCGTGCGCACGCACGTTTGGAGTTAAATGCATCAATCTGGTGCACTTTGAGGGGAAAATAAAGAGATAGATCTATGGAAACACCCAACGTATACATTTCAATAATCATAAAATCATAAGAACATGGCCATAACCAATAACATAACATATCCAATATTAAAAAACATTGAAACTTGTTTATTTATTTATTTTCGGTTCATTTAAAGTTGCGAGTGTGTCTGGGCTCCTGAATCGGCCTCGCCTGTCTTAAAAGTGTATCTTACCTTTTTTCACCTATTTTCTTTATTTGTATTCATGCATATTTTACTAATCATCCCCCCTCAAATGGAAATATATGTTTACATAAATGGAGACCAAACCGTTTGAGACCCACTGAGATAACTGACTAAGTTAACTATCTAAACACTCAAGAGTCCTTAACCTCACCAGGGGCCTCATTTATAAAAAGGGATATACGCTCAAAAAATGGCGTAAGGCAGTTTCTACGCAATGTTTGCGATTTATAAAATACTAACTTGACGGGAAAACTTGCGGTCCTCCACGCAAACTCTAACCCATGCGTACGCACTAAGCACAAAAACGGGAGAGACGAGAAACTGCGACACCATTGGCAGAAGGAAGAATGGAGAGAAATATGTGGAAATAATACTATAAATAAAATGTTACCTCTCATTTATCATATATGAAGAATTCATTTTCAAACATTGATTAAAGCCAATCTTAAAAATGATTTAACAAACGTCTGTTTGAGACTCCTCAGTGCACACAAAAAACATAACTGGGATAAATAAATAAATACGGATATGTTATTTAATGTTATGAAAATGTTTTCTCATAAA